CAAACAAACACATATATATATATATATATTAATATATATATACATCTATATATATATATATATATAGATGTATATATATCGCTGATATCTGCATATATATGTATATATATAAGTATACGGATATATATATATATATACATATATATATATATATAAATGTATATATGTATATATATATGTTATATATATATGTTATATATATACATATATATATATATATATATATATTTCTCATCTTCGTGTATATATATATGCAGCCTTTATTGATGTTTGAATCCGCATATTGTGTATACAAGACGCATTTATTTATTTATTTGCATTTATTCAATTATTTAATCAAACGCAAAACAAACAAACAACAAAAAATGAATAGACAACTAAATGCCCTTATGAATAATTTATAGAAATATAAATAAATACATATATATAAATTATATTCTTGCAAATGCTCTACGAAACAAACAATTAAATCGCCAACAGAAAAGCCTCTCAAGTATTAATACAAATATTATATATATATATGTATATATATATATATATAAATGCATGTAAACATAATATATTTATAGCGATATAAAATATATACATCTTAAATAAAGTTAAAACGCATAAAATATAAAAAAGCCCTCATTTATTTATTTGAATTTAAATAATGTTTATTTAGTAAATAAATAAATAAATAAATAAATAAATAGAATTAAAATTTAGTTTCAGGTGTATACCCGCATTCAGCACCAACACATCGATGCGGCCGAACCTCTTCACCGCACTTTCTATCAAATTCTCGCAATCCTGCAGCAAAGAGAAAAACAAATAAACAAAAATATATAAATCAAACTATTTATTTATTTATTTATTTATTAGTTCATGCACAAACATATAAAAGGAAAAGGCTGAGCATTGGGGTGTATCTGCTTCAAACAGAAAAGGAAGCAAAGATATACAAAAAGAAAAACAGCAGCAGCAACAGCAGCAGCAGCAACAGCAGCAGCAGCAACAGCAGCAGCAGCAACAGCAGCAGCAGCAACAGCAGCAGCAAACATCAGCTGCTGCTGTTTTCTTGGGGCAGCTGCAGCTGGAGCTGCAGCAGCAGCAGCATGAGCAGCCAACGAAAAAATAAACATATATATATATATATATATTATATTATTTTCTTACAGATTCATCTGTTACATCTGTAGGTACAGCGAGACAGCCTGCAGCGCCCAGCTGCAGACATTTTGTTTTTGTGTTTTCTAAACCTTCCTTCCCCCTCGCCGCCAGCACTAAAGACGCCCCTCTTTGTGCATATCTCAGGGCTAATTCCTGAAAGAAATAGACAAATAAACGAATAAATAAATGAATAAATAAAATAATGCGCAAGGAAATAAACAAAGAAATGCAAATAAACTCAGACACAAACCACCATTAAGACGCAATTATTTACTTGCCGCTATAGGGGTTTGTGTTTTTATGTAAAAAAAGAAATACAATTATAAATAAATACACTTTAAAAAGCAATTCATCTTATTTAAAGAAATATAAAAAGAGTGATGTATACAGACACACACAAACACACAAACAAAGATATTCAAATATAGACTGATATTTTTGTGTACGGGTTTAATGCTGCTGTCTCTTGGCGTTTTAATCTGTTTATTTATTGATATGTTTGTTGTTTTTGTGTGGGAGTTATTTATTTATTTATTTACGTATTTCTAGAACCGTGTATAGGAACAGCAATATTTGAACAACTTTCTCTTGCACGTTTCTAGGTTATTGTGTGGGTCTAATACTTCAGATCTGCTGCTTTTATTGGATTTAAATTGTTTTTTATTTGTTTATTTGTTTATTTTTCTCTGTCTTACCTTTCCAATACCTCTTGTAGCTCCTGTTATAACAACAACCGACTGAGGTAAATATTTGTCTGTGCGTAGCGCCAGGGCGGGTGCTGAATTTCCCATTTGTTCATTTCTTGTTGAGAGCCTTTTGATTAAATAAATAAATATAAATGAAAATAAAAGAAAAGGAAAAGAAAAGAAACAAGAAAAGGGAGAGGAATTAAGTCGATCGATGCAAACAAGCCCGCGGAAACAACCGAAACACAGAAGTTGGGGGGGCAGTAGAAAGGAAGAAAAGGAGAAGAATAAATAAATCGTAAATCAAATAAGAAGTAAATTTCAATAAAATAAACAACAAAGCAAATAATATAAACAGAAAAGAGCTCGCTTTAAGGGGAAGAATTATATAAATGTCGCGGTGAAGAGTTCAAGAAGTTGATTGTGCATAGATGTTTGTTCTGATCTGTGTGTACACTGGAAAAGATGAAATATGTTTTCAGGAGTAATTTAACATTAAAATAAAAGAAGAAAGTTTATTTTTCTGTTCTTCTCCTTATAATATTCAAACATAAAACAAGCAGCCAACCATCACTTCAACGCATCAGCCACCGCATACATGATTTCTTAGGGGCGAGATTGCCGGTTTCTGAAGTCGATTAAATTATTTTTTTTGGAAATTTTATATTTGTTTATTCTTTATTATTCATTTATTTCCATTTTAGCTCTTTTTATGGTATTTTCCCAAAATCTTCGTTTCCTGCAACGCCTCGACGGGTTCTGCGCTGCACCGGCTTTATATGTTAATTGATTCATTCTTCTCTGCGAAAATACATTAATTATAAAAGGGAATTAATTAATACTTAATTTAAAATGTCTGTATGCATCAATATTCTTAATTAATCGATCGAATATATCATAATCGACTCAATGCCTATAGCAGCATAATTCTTATTACTTCATTGTTTATTATATTTTCAAGATATTTTACTTCGAGCCCTAACTAATTTTTACTTACACTTAAAATGAATATTTTAATCAGCTAAATATACAAACAATAATAATACGAGTCCAATAGTTCTCTCTGTGCTCCTGCTCTTGCTGTTTTATAACTCTAGCCTCACTCACCCGCCTCCGGTACAATATACTATGTTAATATATAAATGCATACAGAAATACAAATATATACACATAAGAATCAATATATATATATATAAATGTATACACTATGTGTCTATATATATATATATATATATATTGCGTTCATAGTAATTTCCTCATATATATATATATATATATATATATATATATTGTCAAGATCTGCTGAAGAATTTAATTATTGCTTGTTAGAGGTGTTTGCATCTCCATTCAATTACAACAGCAGCAGATAAATGCGGAGTGTATATACAGATAAGAACATAAATTTGATTGCATTTGCATGCAAATGGCTTTCATCACTTCTTGCAGTCAGACGAATTATGCTGCAATTCATTTCTGCTGTCTCTTCGCTTCTTTTTTCCTTTGCATGCAAACAGACAAATAAAAACTAATCTCTAAACCCTTTTCTGCATCAGTGGACACCAATATAATATATATATATATATTTATATATTTATTTATGTGTATATAAATATATTTATTTGCTTGTTTGTTATCTATTGGTGCTGCACAGCCGAAGGCTAACTGAAGCAAAAATAATAAATAATTTCGGAGTTTAATTTGATGGTGTTGTCGTTTGCTGTCTGCTTTTTGAGTGTATGTACACCGCATCGTATTATTATTCTTTAAGGAGGCCCTTTTCTTCAGTTTTGTATGTTACTGTTACTGCAGCATCTTTTGTTTTTTTGTCTATTTCTTCGGAGTGTTAGAATGTAGACATATGTAAATATATATATATATATATATATATACAAATAAATAAATGAATTACTATATATATAGACATATGTACATATTTATATATATATTAGTAAATATATAGTATATATATGCATGTATATATATATATATATATACACTCTGTCCTGAGTGTATAGGTAGCTGTTTTTTGTTTGAATTTTTGTGTAATTTGTTGCTTGATTCTATTGAAGTTAAATCCTCACTAAATTTTTGTTTTATTATCTGCAATTCTTAACTATAGATTGCCTTTATCTTTGTTTATTGATTATTTACTTATGCTAATTATTTATTTAATGTGTTGTTTATTTTCTTGCTTTGTTCATCTAGGAAATGCAAATGCACAAACTAAATATTTTTTAAAAGCCAAAAAAAGTTGGCAGAAAAAGCCGTTAATAAATCTTCGGCAACAGCCCCAAGGCCTGCATGCATGCATGCATGCATGTATGCATGCATGCAGTACATACACTGCAGCTGTTGCATGCGTTTATGTTAGATTTGAAGTAGAGATAAAGAGGAAGGAAGGAAGCCTTTATTGAAGACACCGCAGCAGCTGTATTGTTGCTGTGCCGCAAATGAAATGGGTTTATAAAACTCGCAGAATAACAACAAAAATAACAGCACATAAAGCAGTTTAGGAAGGAGTAGAGAGACAGATTACAAGACAAATATATCATCACCAACTGCTTCCTCTTGCTGCTGCTGCAGATGCTGCTGCTGCTGCAGCTGCTGCTCTTGCTGCTTCTCCTGCTGCTGAACCTGCTGCTGCAGTTTATGTTGGTGTTAATTTCTTCTTCTCGATTGTTGACGCCGCCCTTTCATAGAACGCGGCTTCCATAAAGAAGCTGCTGCTGCTGTTGCTGCTGTTGCATTAGTTGCTGCAGCAGCAGCATGAGCAGCAGTGCTGTATGATTGAAAAGGTACGAAAATGATGTTAAAGATGCCATTGCATGCACGCATGCACGCATGCATGCATGGATGCAAGGATGCACCCTTCTTAGCATGCATCTATCTGCATGCAAAGAAGTATATATTGTATATTTATTGTTTCTACTGTTCATAGACAGTCCCAGCAGTGGGAGGCTGCTGCTGGCCGCACCAGTTTGTCTGAGGCTGTTCATACTGCTGTTCGATTTCTGCTGCCTTTCGTTGCAAGGCATCGAGCTGCTGGGGCTGCTGTCCTTGTCCATGAATATAAAAGTGCGTTTCTTCAATTGTTTGTACATCAGGGGTCCCTGGAGGTCTCATAGGTACACCTGGCTGAGGAGCAAGCGGAGGGAAGAGCATCTTGAAGTTACCTCTGTCTCTAAACCCTGAATAGGCCATGACCCCTTCACGAGTTAAGATATCAGGTTCTGCAACAAAACCAGCAAAGTTTACTTGACCTACTTCAGGGGGGCATGTAACCATCAAAGGAGGCATATATCGCATGCGAGGATCTCCATCTGCTGCTGCAGGACCGCCTAATTGCTGCTGCTGCTGCAGCAAACTAGCTGAGCTCCCAGTCATGCCGCAGAAACCAGCAGCACCAAAGGGAGGCGGAGCATTCGGTGGCTTTCCCCATTTAAATCCTTGCACAAGCTCAATTGCAGGAGCCCCAGGAGGCCCTGGTAGAGTGCAGGAGCCTTGCTGCTGCAGCTGCTCTCCTTGCTGCTGCTGCTCTCCTTGCTGCTGCTGCTGCTGCGTAGGTGGATGCTGGCTGATGCGCACATCTACCTTTGCCTCATAAGGTAGATTCAATGAATTCATACTGCTTAGAGGGATGGGCCCCATCTGGAAAGGTAGAGGCATCTTTGCTGCAATACCTGAAGGTAGAGCCCCGTTAAGTATAGGAGGAAGTGCTGCAGCATCCGGCGGCTGATAAGGAACTTCAATAATCTTTTCTACATATCTTGGTACATAGTAGGGCACCTCAACAGTTTTAATTTTCGGTATTTGCTTCACAACTGTCTGAGGCACCTCTATTACTTTCTCTTGAACAACAGGCTTCACTGTCTCTACAACACGCTCCACCACTTGAACTTTAGGGCGAGGTACGATCTTAGGCGGGTATAGACAGGGTACTTCTACGGGCACTTCAACATATTTAACTCCTTGAGGTACTTCAATTACTTTTTCTTCAATTACGGGTTTATACACTTCGCGCGGCACTTCTTTCACAACTTCTGTTATTGTTGGGACAATTTTCTTTATCTTTAGGCTCTTGGCAACCTCAGCAAACTTGTGCTCATAATGAACGTGGGGAACCTCAATTGTTCTTTCTTGTACTTCTTTCTTCGCTATGTAGATCTCTCTCTCTTCAATTATAGGGCGTGCAACAAACTTCTCAGGTATACGCCGCCTTATCTCCGGGGGAAGAGGCATCGGACCTAATGCTGTCATTACTTGAGGGGGAGGTCGGCTAGCTGGGCCTAGACTGCAAGGTACTGTACTGTGGAGAGCAGCTCCTGCTGAAGGCGCTGCTTCTGTTTCTGCTGCTGCTGCTTCTGCTGCTGCTGCTGGTGTTGCTCCTGCTGCTCCTTCGGCTGCTGCGGCGCCCTGCTCGCCATTTCCTGTACCCAGCTCTGTTGCAGAAGGCTCGTGAGGAGGAGGCATACTGGCGCTTACAGGGGCCCCAGGGTATTCAGTACCTTCTCTAGAAGCGAAGGCAACGGTATCAGTAGGGCGAGAGGCGTGCGGGAGAGGCTGAACAAGGACATCCACCCCCTCCTCAGGGGTGGCGGCATCTTCCTTCTTGCTCATTTTCTAGCCTGAAGAAACATACAAACAGAAACAGAGAAGAAATAAATAGCAGCCCAGTGCAGATGCAAGGCGACAAGCTGGTATTATTTCCCCTTGCATTCAAGAAGTGCAGATGCTACACCGCACAACGCTGCAGAGATAAACAGCTCCAGAGAGAGAACCTCGGAATAATACACCAAAGGAATGTAATGAAGGGTAAAAACAAACAAGTACACGGCTTGGATCAGCATCGAGAAACGCAGTTGCAAGGCTGACGAACTCAGGTCAAGAGAGGCAGCGAGCAAGCCGGTGTAAGCAGTTGAGGAAGGAAAGCATAAGAAGCTTCTCAACAGCAGATAATAGAGAAAGTAGAAACTAAAACGAACGACTGGCAAACACTTTAATTCAACGCAAGTGCTGCTCTGTTCGCTTTGAATCTGTACGCGCGACAGCGGTGCGTCGTCGGCCGCGGCGAGTCGGCTGCAGGATTATGCTGCTGATCCGATGGCTCAAGAAGAGAAATGATAGCAAACAAAGAATTTATTCTTTTAAATAAACCAACGAAACTCAAACAACTGACGTCCATGGCGGCGAGTGAACGCCGAGTGGCGCGAGGTGGCTGGCTATACACCCGAAACTCACTGGTTCCTCGAAGCAGAAGGAGGCGAAAGTCTGCTGCCTTGTGGAAAATAGATGTTGTCTAACAAAGGAAGATAAGAAGAAGACGAAAGGAGAAGTACTGTAAGGGCGTACCTCATAATGAGTTGCAATACCCCTAACGAAGAACATCGAGCCGTTCACAAACTGCTTGCTCTCAGCAGCAGCCGGCCTGATCAGCGGACCCTTGCCTGGGGGGAAACCAGACAGGGAAACTTGCGATATTTTGCGAAAGATTTTTAAAAATAATCAACTTAAACTAATCATATTCATTTAATTCAGCCTTTTTCATGAGTAAACCCGCAAGATATTATATTTTTATGCAGCTTTCCACTCCGATCTTTGGGAACAGCCACCCACAGCTCGGCAGCCGCCGCCGCGCTCCCCAGTCGCCTCTGTACGTCTTCTG